TCCTTTAGAAAGCATCCATAGTTGTAATCCATTCTATTATAGAATTCTCTTAGTCATGCACATACATCTATTAAATCAAACAACGCATTGACGGAAGACCCGCCTGAACTTTGGAATCGTACTAAAACACGTCCAGATATACAATTTACATAATTTAAGCATTCAGAGAAGAATTACAGTGTTTTAAAAGAAAAGGCTTGCATATTTTTAAACGCTATAATGCATATGAAAGATGAAAGCATTTCCACCATGTCTGAAACCCAATAGAAGAAGTAAAAGTACATGACTGATAAAATTATTTAAGTTACAAGATAGCTTCAGCAATTATCACAACAGCAAGAAATTGTGTTTTGGCATTGTCCCAGCAAAGAGGAGAAAGCATAAGACCACAAAAAACGAGCGTAGGGTTTGAAAGTTGTCATAAATAAAAGTAGAAATCAGAGAGAAATCACTATGATAGTACTTCTCCATTCATGGATATAGGAGAAGCTCATATTAAATGAATAAGACTACAAAGTCAAATTTCAAAAGAGATAGTGCTCAACTCAATTTTCGCTCAATTATTCCGGCGGCAATGGTTTGTCCTCCGGCTCGGATAGTAATCCTTCCCAGAGCTTTGCAATTCGTGTACGCTTCGACAGCAACTTCTCGCTCAGTCTCAATCTCAACTAGCCCACTCATCTGCTTGGATAAGCATCTGTAATAATGAACGAGAGAGAACTATCAAAACTGACTAGCCTCCACCAGATTAAACAAACTTTGCAGAAATAGTTGCGATAAACTTCAAGTCAGCTCATCCACAATGTATTTGTATGTTATCAACAAGAAGGAAGAAATTCACAAAAGTTTTAAAATGCTTACCCGCGATGCCCTGACAAAAGCAAAATTAGAAAAAGCATGGTTGGCCAAAGGTATATCAAAGAAGAACAACGACTTAAGATATTTGAAAACGCGAGTTATACAATAGTACATGAAATTTATAATACCTGGGTCTCTCCTTGATAACGTGTCCATTTGTTTTATTGATTGATGATATGAGTTTCACGATTGTGCATGGTTCACACAGCGAGTGACAGTATAACTCAGCTCTGGTCCCTTTCATAATGGGGACAACGACATCAAACACTACGATTCTAGCTGCAAATCGTCGACATGGCATTAAAGCGTCCTAAACGTACGGTTCCTTTTCAATGATATGAAAGTTAAAAAAAAGCTCACCGGTCCCGCCCGAACAATAACGTGACCGGCATGTATAGTATCCGGTTCAAAAGCTCCGTTCAGTGTTAAAAGGGTATGGTCACCAGCAGCGCAGCTGTCCACAGCTCCTCCATCGTCGTTAGAACAGGCTGTGATTAAAAATTTTGCAATTGAAACAACAACATCAGGCGAATTTCAAACCTTTTACCACTGCGGCATCAGCATTCGGCATTATGAAGACCTTATCGCCTACATCCACCTCACCAGATTCAATCTTTCCACTTAAACTTAACTGAGTCGTCGTCGCCTTAAACATTTGTAATAAACCAACTTGGGCAAGAGTTCCCAGGGAGACAGTCGAGTGGCGTGCTTTTTTCCGGCTGTCACTATATACACATGCTAATAACACAGTAAGAAGCTACTCACAACCTTTTGAACTTTTCAGGAAAAAAAAA